CTGAGACCAAGAGTCACACGCTCCACTGGCTGAGCCAGCCAGGCACCCTGTCAATAATTTTTTTTAAAGCTACAAAATGTGAGTCTCTGATCACCTTCTCTTGTATAGCTAAAATGTATATAGTACCTATTATCAGAGCACATTTGTAAACGTTTTAGTTCATTAATTCATTTAATCCTCAAAACAGCCCAATGAAGCAACTTTTAAAGATAAGTTGAGGCACCAAGGAGGTTCAGTACTTTGCATAAAGTCCTGTAGCTAATTAAGTGATGGAGCTCTGCTTATAAAACCAGGCAGTCTGGCTTCAAAGCTCAGGCCACACACTAATTACCAGGACCAATGACCATTAAAAGTTGTGATATATACTTCCAGATAATTTTTATTTAGGGAATGGAGGTACACATATGCATACGTGTGGGTGCAGACGGATAAAAACTATACACATGGAACTATACTAGAGGTCAGCAAAGTATAGCCCATGGGCCAAATCAGTCTCACTGTGTGTTACCTATGTAGCCCATGAGCTAAGAATGGAAAATGGGATTTATACGTTTACATTTTGGAGAAAGAAGGGAATTAAAAAAAAGAAGAGTAGCATTTCATTATACATGAAAAGCATTTCATGACACATAAGATTCAAATTTCAGTGCCCATCAATGAAGTTTTATTGGGACACAGCCATCTTCCTTTATCTAAGTAAGTCTGTGGCTGCTTCTACACTATCAAGACAGAGTTGAGTAGTAACAGACATAGTATGACCCTGCAAAGCACTGAATATTTGTATCAGGCCTTCTATAGAAAAGTTTTACAGACTCTTGGATTATACCATACATGATACTCTAATATTTGTCTCTAAACATTATGTCATTTTCAACATTCCAGATTTCCTTAATTTCTTTAAATGGCTGCAAAATAAAAATGCACCTGAAATTATCAAAGCTTTCCCCTGATGCAAATATCATATCCTTCACCAAATTGCTCTCAAAATAGTGGTATTAATTTATTTCCCTCCTAACAGAATGTGAAAATGACCTCCATTTTGGTGGCCTGGGTACCAGCATTTCAAGAAATTTCATACCTGTCTCACCTGAATACAAGTTCTTCCCCCAACTTCTTAGTAGCCACCCAGCATTGATGCTGAGTTCTGAGCTAAGCCACTCCTTTGGGCTACCTGGGTCCAATCAACTTTAGAGGGACCCACTTTGCATTCTTTTCAATTGTCTTATCTTCTTAGCTTGGACCTATCACATGGAAACATTTGTTCTTTTTAAGTGTTGGAAAAGTGGAAAGGTAGCTACCTCCTGTACTTGTCCCCCTGCACTGGATACTGTTGTGGGCCATCAGATCCCTCCCCATTCCATGTTGAGACTGGGGAATTGCCTTCAGTAGAACAAAGCCACCTTGCCTAAAGTCATGTCCCCTCTTCAGAGACAAACACATCCAATAACTGGTCAATGTAGTTGTATAAAAGCCCATTCACTTCAACTTAAGGTAGTGCAATTAAAAAGTATCACCCCAACTCCAGAGCTCCTTACACAACCCACTAAGTCTCGCTGAATTTAATCACAGTGAGATTTCTCTTGCCCAACTCGCTCATTGCACAGAGATGCATTCCTGAGAACACTACCACACAAATTGTCTCCAATCAAATCTGCATTTTAGAGTCTGTTTCTCGGGGAAACTGACCTAAAACACTCCTCTATAACTCTTCCCAAAGGAAGACAGATGTGATATTTGATATGACTCCTGAGTTTAGGAGAATGCAGTGAGTACACATAGCTCAGCCCCTCCCACCGTCTCATTTTCTGGGCCAACATCCATGCAGACAGGTGCATGCCCTTCCTGCCACTGTCCTTTGCAGGGCAATCACCCAGCTTCATGCCACAGACTATGCTTTTCAAAGCAAATCCGAGCAGCTACCAGTCTCTTTTCAGAGTAATGAGGCTTAAAACTATGTGACAATGAAGAGGTAGGTCTAAGGGAATCTTCTCTGAAGTCTACTTTTCCTAGGATTCTACCTCCCAGAATCTAAACTTTGGTGAGGATACTAGAAGTCCAATTGTGGAAATAAACCTAATTGAGGATCTCCAATTTGTCAATAATTATATCAATGATGTGATCTTTATCGGCTTTATTCCTTTGCCTTTGTTTTCAAAACTATGGGACAGATATGAATCATGAGCATTATCCTAAACCACACTGAAAAGAATAGCACCATGTACTTCCAATAGGTAAATCTTCATTTCTCATTAGTAACTATTAACAGTCTGACTTAACAGTCTTACTTAATAATCTAATTTACCTACATTTACAGAGACGCTACTGCAGCAACTCCTTAGATCTGGGGAAGGTTTTAGTTTAAATCTAGGTTGAACATTTTAGACTTAAAAAGCAGTTTTCAAATAGGAAAACTAAGCCTTGTTTCCTCATTATTAATGAATATGGGAACTACCAACTAAAATTTAGTTTAAGAATTAAAAGCAACAACACAAATAAAGTGCCTCTGACAAGACCTTATAAAGTAGGTATTCAATAAATGTTAATTCACAACCCAGTAAGTACTAAGAACTATTATATATTATACCCAAATGGGTCTGCTGTAGGTTTTTCAGAAAAAAATAAAAATACTCTCTCCTTCACTTCCAAAAGATAGCATGACTTTTCATCCCAAGGAGACTGTTTCAAGTCAAAATTCTGAACAATGAGTAGGTGAATAAAGCTCATACCAAAAATAAGCAAAAGTGGGTAACAGGTGACAGAGAATTAGAAACAGAGCAACAGGCAATCACGTCCATTTTCCCCTTTATGTTATGGAATGCACAGAGAGGATGGTATATAGCCTGAATGTTTGTGACCCTCCCAAAGTTCATATGTTACATCCTAACCCCCAAGTGATGGTATGAGGAGGCGGACATTTTTAGGGAAGTGATTATGTCATGAAGGCAGAGCCTTCTTTAATGGGATTAGTGTCCTTATAAATGAGATCTCGGAGAATTCCCTTGTCTCTTCTACCGTGTGAGGACACACTGAGAAGATAGTGTCTATGAACCAGGATACAGGCCCTCACCAGACACTGAATAAGTTGACACCTTGATCTCAGACTTATCAGCCTTCAGAACTATGAGAAATAAATGTTTGCTGTTTGAGCCACCCAGTATATGGTATTCTGTTACAGCAGCCCAGACTTACTAAGATTCTATGCCTTTGAAGAGCACTGTTAGCTTTGGCCACACAGTATCCCAGAAATGAGATAGAGAAGAGCCTCCACAGACTGGCTGACCGTGATGGCAGTTACCAGACTGGGACTCTAATCAGACCTCGCCCCATGCATCAAGTCACTTAAGAGCTGCCTTCATTCTGTTAGTATGTGGCAAAGAAAGAAAGTATGTGGTGATTAGCCCCACCATATTCTCTTCTCCTAGAGAGAGAGAGTCAAGTCTCCTGATACTTTTTTAGAAAAGCAACTTGAGGGGTGCCTGGGTGGCTCAGGTGGTTAACTGTCTGACTCTTGGTTTCAGTTCAGGTCATGATCCCAGGGTTGTGGGATCAGATTGAGCTCTGCATGGGGCTCCATGCTCAGCGCAGGGCCTACTTAAGATTCTCATTCTCTCTCTCTCTCTCTCTCTCTCTCTCTCTCCGTCTCCCTCTCTCCCTGTCTCTCTCAGGGTGCCTCAGTAGGTTAAGCATCCCACTTTGGCTCAGGTTATGATCTTACCACTGGTGAGTTTGAGCCCTGCATCAGACTCTGTACTGACAGTCCAGCACGGAGCCTGGAGCCTGCTTCCGATTCTGTGTCTCCCTCTCTCTCTGCCCCTCCCCCGCTCATGCTCATCTGTCTCTTCAAAAGTAAATAAACATTAAAAAAATTAAACAAAAAAAGATTCTTTCTCTCTCCCTCTGCCCCCTTCCCCACTTGCACACACTCTCTCTTTCTCTACAATAAAAAAAAGAAAAGAAAAGCAGCTTGAACCCAGGGACTTAATAAGAAGCTGAACTGGGTGTGTTTAAGCAATGACCAACACTTGAAAGCTCACCAGAGAGAACCACTTAACCAAGATAAGAATGTTCACTTATGTCAGAGTGAATGCAACTTGATGGTAAGCATTTATTACTCTGGGGACTTCTCTACTGGGAACCAGCATTCAGGTGAAAGATCTTGCACATTAAGAATAGAAGAAAAACTAGAAAAACTAAGAAAAGAGTGAGTTCCTTTAAATGTCTGGACAGTCTAGGACAAGCACCTGGCACTGGAGGTGGAGGTGGGTGACTCTGGGATGTAAACTCTGGGGATGCAATCAATGACTTGGTTTGTATTTTTAGCCTCTGATACCTGTGATTATTGTGAACTCAGAACTATTAATACTATTAATATGAGTCATCTGGTCTAAAAACTAAGACCAAACTTCACACACTTCCTTAAGAACTAGTGAATTCCAGAGAGGAGCTAAATGTTCCTTAGCAATTTTATTGAAATCTGTTGAATATAAACTTTATAGCAGTCTTTTAAGTCCCGTGTTATTTAAAACAGAGAGAGAGAGAAAGAGAGGGAGGAGGAAGAGGAGAAGGCAAAGGAAGGAAGGGAAATCCATTCCTTTAAAATATGTTCCCTAACTCTTTTCAAAAGACCATGATTATATTCCATGGGTTATAATCCAGAAGGCAGTTTGTTCTACAAATCATAAGGCCTGACAAAAAGGACAGAAGGAAAAGTCACCAAAGCACACTCTCTCTGAATTCTATTAGGCATTCCACATGGTATGGAGCACAGAGACAGGGGAGACTTACAGAATGTGCTCAACTCTTTGTAAACATAGGGTATGAGAGATTCCAGTTCAAAGGAAGATCACTAGTTTAAGAAATGGGAGAAAAGTTCGGAGACCTCTCTCAGGCCAGTCATACTGGTTCCTGCAGGAGTGGCGAGATTACTGCAAAGTAGTTAGCTCCATAAACATATCGGCAAAGCTTAACATTACACAGAAGAGAAAAATACTGCACAGCATTCACAAAACATCCTCCATATTTTTATACTTGTTTCCTTGCTTTCCCTTCTTTTTTTTAGACAGGAAGAGATTCTCCAGCTCACCTGTTTCAAACCCCACACTTGGCACTAAGTCCATGGTTCCATGAAAGGCTCCGGCCCACGCTGAGGTAGCAGTGGTGACTGTAGTCGGGTCTGTCTTTGTGATGTCACACTGGGGAGCAGGAATCCTGGCTGCACGCACTGATGGCATCAGCAGGGGCCCATAGGACGGATCCAGGGCAGAGCCAGCAGAAGGGTGGTGGTGGTGGTGGTGGTGGTGGCGGTGGTGCATGTGGGCGTGGGGGTGGTGGTGCCGCATGTACACATCATGCATGTGGCTGTAGGATGGGCTCACCTGAGATGCCAAAGGATAGTGCCAGGACTCGGATGCGGGCGGGGGAGGGGCTGGGCCAGTCTGATGCAGGCCGTGTCCTGGCCAGGGGCTGGGGTCGGCCGCAGTAAAGGTGCCAGGGGGTGCAGTGACCTGGAAGTCAGGATGAACACCCCCCAAGCAGGGTGCAGGTGGGGGCTGGTAAGAGCTGGTCCAAAAGGAAGTCGGGAAACTATTCCGCTGGCTTGAGAGAGCTGAGCTGTCTGAGAAGACAGAAAAATTATTTACATAAGATTCAGTTCTAGGATAGACTTGCCTCTACTTGTCCAACATTTTACAGGCAGGCTAATTACCATGCACTCTTTTCTCCACACACAGAGGTAAATTGATACCAGGTAAGCCTCTGAGCTCCCATACCAAGTCAGTGCACACGGTTCAAGGTGCTGAATGAGTGCCCCCCACCCCTTGTTTGCTTAGCTTATGCAGTCACAGCCTATGCTGAAGTTTGCAAGTATGAGATTTGAAAGCTTCATTTCCTACTGGGCAGATCGCTGCCACCAGGACTGAGCAGAGGTTGCAGGTACATGTGTCGCAGGTAAAGAAAGCTTATGCCACAGGTGTGATTCAGGTGGTTGGAAATGATGATGTTTACCAAACTTCTTACAAATGCAAATATAATTTTCACTCGAACTGAACATTTTAAGGCTGAAAGTAATAAATGGAAGATCACACTTAATTATGCTCACCAACACTCATCTTCCTTCAAGAAGATAACAGTTGCTAATATTTAATGACAGTGACCAAAAGCCCAATCCTAGTCCAGGGCTTTTCATGGATGATCTTATTGGAGCCTCACTCCAACCCTATGAGTTACTGTTATTATCCCCATTTTAGAGATATGGAAATTGAGGCAGGGAAGAAGCCTAAGACTTCACAGCTAGCAAGTAGGAGACTGGGCTTTGAAGACAGGTAGCCTGCCCCAGTGGCTGGCACTCTTCATAACTGTGCCACAAGAGGGCACAATTGCAACCATAACATAAACATCTAGAATTTGGTCATCATTCTGTGGAAATCATGATTGGAGGAGATTCAAGCAGGGACAATAGATTTGAGGAAGGGTTTGGG